CCTGGTCTACAGTGTGAGTTCCAGGACAGCCAGGACTACACAGAGAAGCCCTGTCTCGAAAAACCAAAAAAAAAAAAAAAAAAAAAATCTTTTAAACATGTCTATTATTGTTATGTGTGTGTGTCCGTGTCTCTGTGTGTATGTGTGTTCATGTGCACTTGTGCCACACCTCAGCACATATGTAAAGGTCAGAAGACAACTTTTCCAAGTCAGTTCTCCGATACCATGGGTTCTGGGGATGGAATTCAGGTCACCAGGCTTATGTGGCAAGCAAGCGCTTTCTTTACCTGCTGAGCCATCTACCCAGTCCAAAGTTCACAGACCACCATAAATGCCTTTCCTCAGTATATTTTTTTCCTTTAGTTCAGGAATACGACAGAAAAATTGGTGCATGTGTACGCGTGCGTGTATGCACACGCATGCTCACATGGTCTGAGATAGGCCCTCTCCATGAATCCCAGGCTGGCCTTCATTCATGGTTCTCCTGCCTCTGCCTCCCATGTGCTGGAATTGCAGGCCCATGCCACCATGCCCAGAAGTTTGGCTTGTTTGAATTATTTATAGACTCTGGCTTGACTTTTGGGCCTTTTCCACTGGGCAGCTTTTGTTTCCCTGTATTGTCTTATCAATGTGTTCCTTCAACTTTCTGTCTAGTGGAGACACACAGAGATTCTTAGGCCCTGGTGTGTAGGTAGCCAACCAATGAGCTGTGACCAGTAATGTGGGATAACTTCTTTCTTATACCTATCCTTATTGGATAGCACAGCTTGAGTATATATATAAATAAAATTTGGTGTTGACTGGAAGTAAAACAATTTTAAAGAAATAGGTGGTAGAGTTAATCTTTGCAAGTTGAATTGATAATGTCTTATCTCATGTACAAAATCATTTTTCTTACAAGCCCGACGGTGGTGGCTTACGCCTTTAACCCTAGCAGTGGAGACAGAGGCAAGTGGATCTCTGTGAGTTTGAGGCCAGCCTGGTCTATAGAGTGAGCTCCAGGTTCATACAGACACCCTGTCTGAAAACAACAGAAACCAAGAAATAAAATGCCTTGTAGATTTATTTTAAAAACATTCCTTCCACGCCTACTCCTGAGTAGGGAAGTTAATGTAAAACGTCACTATTCAACACCGTGTGTCTATCATACAGAACCCAAAAGTGTTTTCGGTTTCCCATCCCAGGCGCTGGGCTAAGGTGGGCCTTTTCACTGACATACACCTCTAGTCCACCTCGTTAAGATCCTCGCCCCTTTTCCTTCCTCACCGCCTGCCAGGCAGCAAGAAAATTTGCCCCTAGGCAAAGGTCATTGGAAGACCCTCACCCAAACAAGTGCAAGACCCGCACAAGAGGACTACAACTCGAAGCATGCCGGGAAATGGAGTAGCGGCAGCGCCTGCGCGGAGCATGCCGGGAGTTGAAGTCCAATCCCCCACAGGCTGTGAGGAAGGACCGCCAGGGGCGTGGGCAGCGGCTCCTGCGTGCAGGCGGGTGCGGTTCTTCCTAGGCAGCATGGCGGATACAGCCCCTCAACTCAAGAGAAAGCGGGAACAGGAGGCCGAGGAGGCAGAAACCCCTGGCACAGAGGAGAAGGAAGCAGGCGTTGGCAATGGTACCTCTGCCCCTGCCCGCTTACCGTTCTCCGGCTTTAGAGTACAGAAAGTGCTGAGGGAGTCTGCGCGGGACAAAATTATTTTCCTGCATGGGAAGGTACCATTAAACACCCGAGGGGACGCGGGAAGGAGGGGACCAGTCTTCTTGTCAGAAGCGGATTTGTTTCCCTTCCAGGAACTACCAGTCACGTTATTACATAGAGTGTGCCACCACTATGATACATGGAGCGAGAAGCTTGCTGTGTAATTAAAAGAATGCACATATCTAGGTCCAATTGCCCCAATTTCTCCTTCCCTAGAAATAGATGCCAGTTTTAAAATCACGTATTAAATTCCCCAAGCCATTCATCCTCATTTATTTTACGTAT